ATATTAATTACATATACAGTGAAAAACTACACGGAAATAGCACAATTTTACATGCTGCAGGAAATCCATCTGTTCAAGTAGTAATATAACTATGACAAAGCAATATTCCCCTCGACAGAATTGATTGTTCAAGCGCATGCAAAGTACTTTTTCCCTTTCCTATCCTTATAATGTTGAAAGCACCTGCGACTGACATGCGCAATTTTTTACCATCACGCTACCGATGAAGCACACCAGTCGCCTTCGCGCCATTGTAACGACAGAATGACTAAGCTTAACATCCCCTGGTCGAATGTGAATAGTGAGAAAGATATAATCAACGCACTAATACTGAACCAATGGATACTACGAATTCTCGGAATCTGGCCATTGGTTTATTCGAATACTACAATGATAGAGAAGATATTAGCGACAATATCATTCACGTTATGCTGGTCCGCGCTCAGTTTTCTTCTAATACCCATGGTCATTTTTACGGTGTCAGAACGAACAACTATAAACGACAAAATCAAAATGCTAGGTCCGCTAAGCTTCGTGTTAATCTCGACGCTAAAATATTTTTTCCTGATAATTCATCATAAGAGTATACGGCAATGCATTAATGTGCTAAGTACCGATTGGCGTGCAGTCCATCAGCAGGATTATCGAAAAATTATGATTAAAAATGTGGCAAAAAGTCATGTGCTATCTAAGTTTTGTATATTGTTCATGTATTCCGGAGGCTTGTGTTTTCATACCGTAATGCCATTTCTGACACACACGACAATCGACGAGCAGAATGTCACTGTTAAACCTATACCTTATCCCGGCTTCGATATTATTTTCGACTTGCATTTTACGCCGGCCTATGTATTTGTATTTTGCGCACAATGGTTTTCCGGTTTCGTAATGTTCAACGTCACCACGGCAGTGTGTTGCTTGGCCGCCATGTTCGTAGCTCACGCTTGCGGTCAAATCGAGATCGTGATGACTCGCGTAGAAAATTTTGTAAAAAATGCACAAAGCAGTTACATGAAGCAACATATGGCAATTATCATAAGACACCACATGCAGTCATTGAGGTAAGTGTTTTATGCAAATCATTGCAAAAAGAAATGTTATGTCAATTATATCTGATTATTTAAATTAAAAATTGTATGAATTGCTTAATAAAGAATAATTATGATAAAAGAAAAGCAATAAAATTTTAACTTTTTATAAATACAGAAATATTTACTTCATAAATAATAATTTAAAAAATGTAATTAATAATTAAACTTACAATTAAATTATAATTAAATTAATAATTAAATTTTATTAATTGTACTCAATAGTTCACCGCAAAAAGTAGAAAATAGAAATTAAATTATTAATCAAATATAAAATGTACAATAAAAGATTTTACAGATTTTCAGTCAGTATCGATAATATTTTACGCGAAATATGTCTGGTTGAAATAGTGGGAACAACGTTAACTATATGCCTGTTGGAATATTACTGCATCATGGTAATGTGTAAAAAATTTCAAAAATATTTGCGATGTGAAAGTTGAAATAAATGATTCAAGTCACACTTTTATATCAAATTGTTCATTAAATATAATGTATGGATATTTGATATATTCTATAAATGCATTATTTCCTATTCTTTAAAGAAATAAAATTTCAAGATGTAAACACAAATTTTTTTTAATTTAATAAAAAAATAAAATTAATGATTTAATATTACCTCAATCTCACAGGAATGGAATAACAATGACGGTATAGCAATTATAACATATTTTTTTCTATTAATATCGTTTGTTTTCAACGTTTTTACGCTTTGCTACATTGGCGAACAATTAACAAACCAGGTGTTTATATTTAAATTTTTAATAAATTTTTAACACTAAATTAAATTATATTAAATGTTAAAATATTTTTAATGTTGCAATATACAGGATATATCTGAAATAATAATTCATACAGTCCCATACAATAATTCATACAGCCCAATCATACAGTGCTATTTCTAATAAAAAACTAATTGTAAGACAAAAAATCCTCTACCATTTTACAATGTTCGCAATAATTGACGAGATATTTTATTCTAAAGATTGCAGAATAAACAGATAACATCGCTATATAAGACAGTTTTGAGATATATTTCAGTGTTCTTTGTAAAATATTTTGAAGATACTTTGTGTGTAAAGAACTCTGAAAAATATCTTAAAATTTTCTTATACGTCGATTTTATCCGTTTATTCATTGCGTAACAAAAAAAAATATTGCAAAAATTGCACAGAACTTTTTAACTTAGTTTTTTATTAAAAATAGCACTATATGATTAGTGAACGTTATTTCAGATACACTCTGTATATCAAAAATTTATAATATATATCTCTAATAATAATAAAAATTTGCGTGACATGTACAAATAACATATATATATATATATAAAATAACGTATAAATAAATTATATACTTCAGTTCAGCAAAGTTGGATTTGCATCTTATAAAATCGAGTGGTATCATTTACCAGAAAAAATTGCACTTGATCTCACGTTAATAATCAGCATATCACAGCATCCGATAAAAATTACTGCAGGAAAAATAATCAATCTTTCGTTCTCAAGTTTTGGTTCTGTAAGTACAATTTGTCATCACTCAAAGATGAAAAAGCACAATAATAAACATGTTTCAAGCACATATTTCATACATCAACAGGTACTGAAAACCTCGATTGCATATCTAAACATGCTCCGAACTTTAGTTTGATCCATGCGAGAGAATTTTTTCAAAGAATCCTGCTTCAGATCAATAAATAAAATAATATTCAGTAATTTCTTTACTGAAAAAATTTATAATTACATTGAATGAATATATTTCAAGATAATAATGTATATGTGTTTGATAAAACCAATTAAATGCACATATCAATAATTAAATAAACAAACTTAGTCCGAATCAAATATTTTACGCTTATCAATTAACGAAGCCGTATCAATTATAATATGTTATTAAAAATACGATCAAAATATTTACAATTTTCCATCAACCATGATGATATTTACAATCTTCACATTTATACATCGTATATATTTCTAAACGCACTTCAATTTCAAACAAAATAGAAAAAAAATTAATTTTTCAGTGATGACATCTACACACCTATTTTTGCAATGTACTTTTTATTTCATATTAACAATGAATTTTTACATATCTCGTGTTTTACTTTAATATATTTACAATATTTGAAGAAATGAAGACACGACAAAGAACTTATCCTGAAATCGCATTTCTGTAAGGAGAAACCGAATCGGTATTTAACTTATATAAAAATAATTAAAATGGTACAGTTTCATCTGTTTAAACCGTTATTTCGTCGAACTTCAAACTTGGTAAGAAAATACCAGGAGATTAAAATACGGTCTCCACGATCATAATATTATATTTTTAAATTTCGTTTGTACCTCTGTCGATTTCATTACAACTCAAAGAAAATATGCAGATACAATGTTTTTCGATTTCAGTGTAATCCTTTCATGTTTCAGTGTAATCCTTTCGCCTTTTCTCCTCAATATTTCATCAGCATTGCCATATTCAACATGACTACGTCGGCATACTGCGGTCATGCTCATCGCTGATGCGAGTAACCAGATCAACATTCTGATAGTACACATGGAAAATTTTTTCAAGAAAATGCAATCATACAAAGTTTGAGAAATGCATGGCGATTATGGTGCATCACATGCGAACATTAAGGTAAGCATCTTGTCTTGCTACTTGCGCCTGCATTTTAGTATCTGTAAAACTACCTATACGTTTCAATAATGTCTGCACGAAAAAGCCTGCAAATTTCTTTATCAAAAGTTTATTAAATATAAAAAATTAACATTATTCGAAATATCATCTGTTAAAAGAATTATGTTTTCATCTATTTCGTTAAAAATATTTGACCATTGTCATTTCATACCAGCATAGATTTTTTCAGTTAGCATCTATATACTCGTATTTTGCGCTATTATATACATAGTTACGTCTATTTAAAATAACGGGAACGATGTAATATGCTTGATAGAAATTTCTTGATAACCGGTAATTATATATTTCTTTTTAATTAGTTAATATGCTTCCCATATCAACCAACAAAATAAGATTTATTAACCTCTTCATTAAAAAGATTTATACATTACGATTTAAACAAATATATATCTAAGATAACAGTATATATGTTGTTATCTTGCGTACATCATATGAGATAATAACGTGTATCCATATTAAATTATATCACATTATTTAAAAAAATTAATTACACATACAAAAAAACTACACGGAAATAGTACCATTTTACATGCTGCAGAAAATCTATCCGTTTAGATAGTGATATAACTATCACGAACAATATTCCCCTCGACAAAATTGATTGTTCAAGTGCACGCAAGCTGCTTTCCCCCTTTCCTATCCTTACAATGTCGAAAACACCTACAACTGTCATGCGCAATTTTTTACCATCACGCTACCGATGAAGCACACCAGTCGCCTTCGCGCCATTGTAACGACAGTATGACTAAGCTTAACATCCCCTGGTCGAATGTGAATAGTGAGAAAGATATAATCAACGCACTAGTATGGAACCGATGGATACTACGAATTCTCGGAATCTGGCCATTAGTTTATTCGAATACTACAATGATAGAGAAGATATTAGCGACAATATCATTCGCGTTATGCTGGTCCGCGCTCAGTTTTCTTCTAGTACCCATGGTCATTTTTACAGTGTCAGAACGAACAACTATAAACGACAAAATCAAAATGATAGGTCCGCTAAGCTACGTGTTAATCTCGACGCTAAAATATTTTTTTCTGGTAATTCATCGTAAGAGCATATGGCAATGCATTAATGTGCTAAGTACCGATTGGCGTGCAGTCCATCAGCAGGATTATCGAAAAATTATGATTAAAAATGTGGCAAAAAGCCATATGTTATCCAAAATTTGTATAATGTTCATGTATTGCGGAGGCATGTGCTTTCAGTCCGTAATGCCGTTTCTGACGTTTTACACCACAATCGACAAACAAAATGTCACTGTTAAACCAATACCTTGCCCTGGGTTCGATATTATTTTCGATTTGCATTTTACACCGGTCTATGTATTTGTATTTTGCGCACAATGGTTTTCCGGTATCGTATTGTTCAATGTCACCACGGCAGTGTGTTGCTTGGCCGCCATGTTCGTAGCTCACGCTTGCGGTCAAATCGAGATCGTGATGACTCGCGTAGAAAATTTTGTGAAAAATGCACAAAGCAGTTACACAAAGCAACATATGGCAATTATCGTGAAACACCACATGCAGTCATTGAGGTCAGTGCTTGATACACATCGTTGTGGAAAAAATTGTTTGTGTCAATTATAAAAATAAAGAAGTAAAAATAGAATATTTACGGTAAAACGAAGGTCAAAAAAATTTTTAATTTTTGTAAATATAGAAATATTTACTTTATAAATAGTAATTTAATTAATAATTAAACTTAAATTTTATTAAATGTACTCAATAGTTAACCACAAAAAGTAAAAAACAGAAATTAATTTATTAAATAAAATATATAAAATGTACTATAAAAGATTTTACAGATTTTCAGTCAGTATTGATAATATTTTACGCGAGATATGTCTAGTTGAATTAGTGGGAACAACGTTAACTATATGCCTGTTGGAATATTACTGCATCATGGTAATGTGTAAAAAATTTCAAAAATATTTGCGATGTGAAAGTTGAAATAAATGATTCAAGTCACACTTTTATATCAAATTGTTCATTAAATATAATGTATGGATATTTGATATATTCTATAAATGCATTATTATTGTAATGTGTAAAAAATTCCAAAAATAATTGCAATGTGAAAGTTGAAAAAAATGATTCAACTCACACTTTCATATCAAATTTTTCATTAAATATATAAATATTTGATATATTTTATGTATGCATTATTTCCTATTCTTTAAAGAAATAAAATTTCAAGATGTAAACATAAATTTTTTTTAATTTAATAAAAAAATAAAATTAATGATTTAATATTACCTCAATCTCACAGGAATGGAATAACAATGACGGTATAGCAATTATAACATATTTTTTTCTATTAATATCGTTTGTTTTCAACGTTTTTACGCTTTGCTACATTGGCGAACAATTAACAAATCAGGTGTTTATATTGAAATTTTTAATAAATTTTTAATAACGAATTAAGTTATATTAAATTTTAAAACATTTGAATGTTGAAATATATATCATAAAAATGTATAATATGCATCTCTAATAGTGATAAAAATTACGTGATATACACACATAACATATATAAATTAACATATATATAAATTACATACTTAGTGCAGCAAAGTTGGATTTGCTTCATATAAAATCGAGTGGTACCATTTACCAGGAAAAATTGCACTCGATCTTATTTTAGTGATCAACATATCACATCATCCGATAAAAATTACTGCAGGAAAAATAATGAATCTTTCGTTCTCAAGTTTTGGTTCTGTAAGTATTATTTGTCATCATATCGAAGGTGAAAAAGTATAATAATAAAAGAATTTTTAAGCACATGTTTCATACATTAACAGGTACTGAAAACTTCGATTGCATATCTAAACTTGCTCCGAACATTTGTTTGATCCATGCAAAAGGATTTTTTAATCCTGCTTCATATCAATGCATAAAATAATATTCAATAATTCCTTTGAAAAAAATTTTATAATTACATTAAACATATTTCAAGATAATAATGTGTACGTGTTTAATACAACCAATTAAATACACATATCAATACATTAAATAAACATAAACGAATCAAAATTTTATAAAAATGTTTTACGCTTATAATTTAGCAAAACTGCATCGGTTGCAATATGTATATCAAAAATACAATTAAAATATTTGCAATTTTCCATCAATTATGATAAAGTTTGCGAACATAATCTTCATTTATGTATCATATAGAGTGAGTCTGATTAAAAGTTTGCCACGTCTTTCTCGAAATTAGAAATAGGTAGAAATAAGTTAGAAATAGGTAGAAGACATGTATTATGGAAATAAGTAGAAAGACATACTTTGATGGCTTCGAGTAACCTTTAAATGTCCTGGGTTTTCATACCACTAATAAAAAAATTTATTTTTAAAGAAATGACTATTTTTTACTCTAATGCTGCTCAACGAGCTGAATAATTTTGCATTAGAGTATATTTTCGAAAATTCCACTATTACTGGAATATAAGCCAAAATAAATCAGACTGCCGTAATAGAAATATTAGTCAATCTTCAGTATCATGCATTCTCAGAAAAAACAAGTTCTATCCATATCGTATATCGGTACTCCAAGAACTCTCGCAAAATGATTTTAACATAAGGATCCAATTCTGTAAATGGGCTAAAAATAAATTACAAAAAATTTTAACTTTCTTCGATTTTGTTGTGTCAATATTCAAAGAAATAAAAGTACGATAGAGAATTATCTTAAAATCGCATTTCTACAAGGAGTAACCGATGTGAATCAGCGTTCAACTTAAAAAAAAAATCAAAATGGTTAATATATGCATTTTTATGCATTTGTACAATTTGTTATTTGTACAATTTGTTTTTTGTATATCAAACGTTAAGAAAATACCGTTTGAGGTACTCAACGGGAGAATTAAAAACAGTCTACACACGATCATAATATTATATTTTCAAATTCCGTTTATACAAGAAAATCGTTTGTACCTCTGTCGATTTCATTATAATTCAAAAAAATATAGAGATATAGCATTTTTCAATTTCAGCGTAATCCTTTCGCCTTTCCTCCTCAATATTTCATCAATATTGTCATATATAACATCATTACATCGGCACGCTGCTTAGTGGATGACTTATCGCTCATACGTATGGCCAGATAAACATTGTAATAGTACGCGTAGAAAATTTTTTTAAGAAACAAATGCAATCATACAAAATTGGAGAAATGCATGGCGATTATCGTGCATCACGTGCAAACATTAAGGTAATTTTGTCTTGCTATCTATATTTTAGTATCTGTAAAACTACCTGCACGTTTCAATAATGTCTGCACGAGAAAGCCTGCGAATCTCTTTACCAAAATTTTATTAAATATAAAAAATTAACATTATTCGAAATATTATCATGTGTTAAAAGAATTATGTTTTCATCTATTTCGTTAAAAATATTTGACAAATGACAGTTCATACCTGGTAGATCAGTCAGCATTGATGTACTTTGCGCTATTATATAGTTACGTCTATTCAAGATATTGGGAACGACGTTCGTGATATGCCTGATTGAAATTTCTTGACATAACGGTAATTAAATATTTCTTTTTAATACTGTTTCTCGTATCAACCAAGAAAATAAGATTTATTAACCTCTATATTGAAAAGATTTATGCATTACGCTAAATAAATATATTTTAAAACAATAATATACGTGTTATCTTGTGTATATCATTTAAGATAATAACGTATATCCATCTTAAATCATACCACATTATTTAATTACAAAAATTAATTAATCACACATACAGTTGAAAATTACACGGAAATAATACAAGCAATTGTACATGCTATAGAAATCCCTCTGTTCAAGTAGTAATATAACTGTAACGAAGCAATATTCCCCTCGACAAAATTGATTGTTCAAGCGCACGCAAGCTACTTTTCCCCTTTCCTATCCTGACAATGTTGAAAGCATCTGCGATTGTCATGCGCAATTTTTTACCATCACGCTATCGACGAAGCACACCAGTCGCCTTCGCGCCATCGTGACGATAGTATGGCTAAGCTTAACATTCCCTGGTCGAATGTGAACAGTGAGAGGGATATAGTCAAAGCACTAGTGTGGAATCGATGGATACTACGAATTCTCGGAATCTGGCCGTTGGTTTATTCAAATACTACAAAGATCGAGAAGATATTAGCAACAATATCATTCGCATTATGTTGGTCCGCGCTCAGTTTTCTTTTGATTTCCATGATCATTATTACGCTATCAAAACACAGTGCCACAAGCGATAAAATTAAAGTGTTAGGTCCGTTATGTTATGTGTTTGTCGTGACGTTGAAATATTTCTTCCTGATTCTTCATCATAAGAGCATCCAGCAATGCATTCGCATACTGAGTAGTGATTGGCGTACAATCCAACAAGAGGATCATCGAAAAATTATGATTAAAAACGCAGCGAAAAGCCATATGTTATCCAAGTTTAGTATAATATTCATGTATTGCGGAGGCTTATGGTTTCATGTCATGATGCCGTTTCTGTCGCATACTATCAACGAGCAGAATGTCACTATCAAACCAATGCCTTTTGCCGGCTTCGATAACGTTTTCAACTTCCATGTAATGCCAGTTTATGTGTTTGTTCTTTGCGCGCAATGGTTTTCCAGCATCATATTGTTCAACGTCACCACGGCAGTATGCTGCTTAGCAGCCATGTTCGTAGCTCACGCTTGCGGCCAAATCGAAATCGTAATGGATCGCGTAGAAAGCTTTATAAAAGGTGCACAAAGCAATCACATGAAGCAATGTATGGCAATTATTGTAAAACATCACGTGCAGTCATTGAGGTGAGTCTTGTTGCATATTGTTACGGAAATAATTATCTATATCAGATGTATCGGATGTGTATATTATTTAAATTAAAAATTTATATAAACATTGCATATGAAACACAACATAAAAAATATTTACAAAAGTAAAAATATAAATCTTTTAATTTAAATTTTTATACAAATATATAAAAATATTTATAAATAAAAATTAATGTAAATTTAGCTCCTATTAACTGTACTGAATAACTACGTTCAAGAAAAAACTAATCAATTAACGCTTAGTGATTCTTTAATATGATTGGTTCTTGCCTTTAGTTCTTTGTTGGATCTAAATTTAGGAACTAATTATATTAACCTTACGGAAAGTAAAAGAAATAAATAATTTGTATTAAATAAGATATATATATATATATATATATATATATATATATATTATATATATAAAAGCTATATTAAAAAGTTTTGTAGATTTTCAGTCGACATCGATAAGATTTTACGCGAAATAGGTTTGGTTGAAATAGTAGGAGCAACGTTGATTATATGCTCGCTGGAATATTACTGCATTACGGTAATACATAAACAATTTTTAACTTAAGAAAAATGGTGTAAAAGTTCAAATATATTATATGTTATGTATTTTATATTCAACTGTACATATTGTATGTTCAACTTGCATTCTCGTATATTCAATTCTATTATTACATATAAATATTTAACATTTGTTTATAAATATTAAAAATATTTTAACAAATCTCATTTCTTAAAGAAATTAAATTTTATAGTGTAAACATATATGTTTTTAATTCAATAAAAACGTTACGAGTAAAATAAATGATTGAATATTATATTATTCTCGCAGGAGTGGAATAACAACGATAGCATAGCTATTTTAACATATTTCTTTCTATTAATATCGTTTGTCTTCAACGTTTTCACGCTTTGCTACATTGGTGAACAGTTAACAAGTCAGGTGTTTATACTTCGATTTTTAATAATAAAGTAAATTATATTTAATTCAAAACTCAAAATTTTAATTTGGATATTGCTATTTATAAAAATTTGACGTACACATAAATAATGTACATATATAAATTAAATACATATGTATATGTACATATACAGAGTCACTCGCAAGTGCTTTGGCCAAACGGTTTTGTGTAAATAGACTAAACTGAGTCAAAAAGTCCTGTACCATTTTGAAATGTTCGGAATAATTAACAAGATATTAATTATTAAAAATAATTAAATATTAGTTTCAAATAATTTTTTACTCAAATACTATCAACTTTACAGAAAAACAGCAAGAGACAAAAATTGCTTATTTTCTTCTCATAGAGTTCTGAGAATTTTTTCAGAATTTTTTAGTACTGCATTTCTTCATATTGGTAAAAATAAAAAGATATAGTATTAAAAAGTTGATGAAAAATTCTGAAAAAATTCTTAGAGCTCTATGAGAAGAAACTAAACAATTTATGTCTGCTGCTGTTTTTTCTGTAAAGTTGATAATATTTAAGTAAAAAGTTATTTGAAACCTATATTTAATAATTTTTAATAATTAATATCTTGTTAATTATTGCGAAAATTGCAAAATGATAGAGAACTTTTCGACTTAATTTAGTTCACTCTATCTACACAAAAGCGACCAACAATTACGGGAACTGTGTAATATGTATATAATAATATACATATATAAATTTAAAAAATAATTTAGTGCAGTAAAATTGGATATACTTCGTACGAAATCGAGTGGTACCATTTACCAGGAAAAATTGCACTCGATCTTACATTAATAATCAGCATATCACATCATCCTGTAAAAATTAGTGCAGGAAAAATAGTTAGTCTTTCGTTCTCGAGTTTCGGCTCTGTAAGTACAATTCACTATCACTTAGAAGACAAAAAAGCATAATAAAAAAATTTTTTAAATCACATATTTATTGACAGGTTCTGAAAACTTCAATTGCATATCTAAACTTGCTTCAAAAATTCATTTGATATATACGAGATAATCTTTATAATTTTGTCCCTGCCAGAAATAATTAGTCGAATTAATATTGATTAATGGCATTGGGCTATCAACGTCGATTCAATCAATTATTTTTTGCTGAGATTTTGTATCAACAAAATAATATTCAGTAAAGTCTTTTTATTGAGAAAAAGATTTATAAATAATTGTGAATGGATTATAAACACTGAATGACTATATTCCAAGATAATATTGTACGCATGTTTGATAAAATCCATTAAATGCACGTATCAAAAAACATTCAATAATAAATTTATCCCGGTTCAAAATTTTAGATTTTAGGAATAGAAATATTTTACGTTTATTATTTAGCTAAACTCCATCAATTGTAATATATTATTCAAAATGCAATTCACATATTTACCATTTTTCCTTGATAATATTTTTCCATCAATTATAAGAATTTCTTATGTAAATACGATCTTTATTTATATTATATTTTTAAATGTATCTAAAAAAAAAAGGATAACATTTTTTAATAACTTCTACGTACCTATTTTTCAATGAACTTTCTTATTTTATATTAATTAATCTTTTTCGTATTTCACTTCCAATCTTGCATTTTCAATATCCAAAAAAATGAAGTACGATCGAGAGGAATCTTATCTTAAAATCACTTTACCGCAAGAAGTAATATGTTTTTATGGCGATGCTAACGTTCTGAACAAAAACGTTTCACACATTACTAAAATCGCGTACAGACTATACGCAGTAGTCTACACGCAGAGAAAAGGATGTCTACAATTCGAGCGCAAGCGCATGTCCAACAAACTTGCAATCAATGCCGCGCGCTGTCCATCTCGTGCAGTCTTTAACAGCCACTGTGACCGCAAACATGTCAAGTACGCGCAATGAGAAGGATCCCAACTATCAGCAAGACATTCAATATATCTTCAAACTAAACAATTGGATTCTGGGCTCGATTGGCATATGGCCAGTCTCGATTCAAGGCATCGGACGACACGCGCCCAAGATCGCGATCGCGCTCGGTAATCTCGCGTTAAGTTTCGCCATGGTGCCCTGTGCCTTGCACATCGTATACGACGAGAAGGATATCATCATGAGATTGAAGCTATGCGGCCTTCTAGCATTCTGCCTCACCGCAATGACAAAATATTGCATCCTCGCGATACGTCGCCCTAAGATACTCCGCTGCATCGAATATGTAAAGAATGATTGGTGGCAGGTCGGTATTATTAGTACTTAACAGATGTGCTAATCATCTCGAAGTATCGAGAATGGTTTAAATAAAAAAATTGCATAAGTTAGTGTTATCTCAGTTCTAAAATTTGCTTTTTTAATAGAATTTTTATTTCTGTCTAGATAGACAACTTTGCTTTAAACATAAAAAAGCAGATAATATAATAGCTAGACAATTAAATTGGTAAATAGTGGGTCGGTTTTACCAACGCCAATTACTTAATTGGCGTTTAACAGAATCAATTGCATTTTCTGTTTAGTAGAATTGACTGGTTAATTCTACTAAACAGCAAATGCGATTGATTAGATAAATGCCCATTAAATAATTGACGTTAATGAAACCGATCCAATGATCTCTTATTAATCTAGATAAATAAAAATTAGTGATAATACTGTGACAGGTAACATTCAGATCTGACAGGGAATTGATGCTGAAGTACGCGACTATCGGTCGCAATCTAACGATAATCGGCGCATCTTTCATGTATACTGCCGGCGTTATTTATTACGGGATTCTGATCCCATTCTTTTCCGAGACCAAAATCAACAATCAAACCATCAGACCACTTGTTTATCCAACTTACAATGAATTTTACCAATTCCAAATTAGTCCTATATACGAAATTGTATATGTGGCTCATTGCATGTGCGGATATACTATATATTCAATAACAGCTGGTGCGTGCGGATTGGCTGCTTTGTTTGTCACTCATGCGTGTGGTCAAATCCAAGTGATCATGTCACGATTGAAAAATCTCTTAAACGACGAAAACTCAAACATTCATCAACGGATCGCTATCATCGTGAAGGATCATGTCCGCATAGTAAGGTAACCTCATATCTACTTCTCACTGAGAGAAAAATACTTGTTATTTGTAACTATATAACTACATATTACTATAATTATAATTATTATTGTTATAACATTAGTAATAGTAACCATATGTATAGTTCTAGTAACAAATGTATATGTTGGCAAACTAAAACGAGTATAATTATAGTTATTATAAAAAGAATTAAAATTGCTATAAAAATGATTCGAATTACTATAATCTTATAGCCACACATTGTTTGCTATCCCAAAAAATGACTACCGTATAAGATTATGCTAATTTGAATCATTTTTATGATAATTTCAATCATTATTATGGTTATAATTATACTCATTTCACAAATTGCCAATTATATACATTTGTACTAGAACTATACATATAGTTATTAATACTAATATTATAACAGTAACAATCATAATTACAGTAATATGTAAATATAATTACAAATCCCGAAATTTTTTCTCGATGCTTAAGAACTTAAGACAGTTCAATAATACAAAGAAATTAAAAAATATAGCTAAAAATGTTTAATGGTTTGCAGTTTATATTGTAACTAAAAATGTTTAATAACAATATTAACAAATTAAAACAAGTTATTAAGACTTTATTGTATAATGTTAACTTAATTAGCATAATTAATTTGACTTAAAAAAAATGTTATGCATTCGTTTTATCATGCCTAATTTGATTGTTAATTTATATTTATAGGCGTTAAATCGATAGTTTTCGTCATCGACTCGATTTTTTAAATTATTCCTCATATTAAAATATGTATTCATTAATTTTTTTTAAATTTTTATCCCTATTAGTTTCTTAGATATGAATTTCTTTATTTTCGATTTATTTTATTTCGTAAACCTTTAGTTGAAATTAACTTAGTTCTGTTTAAATTATTAATTTAATTATGTTTTGTTTAAATTAATTTAATTATGTTTTGTTTAAAAAACAAAAAATAACTCCATCAAATTGTTTGCCTTGAAATTATCTGTTAAGAAAAAAATATGAAAAAAACTTCAAGTTTTTGTTTTTACTCGAAAAATTTAATTGATATAAACAAAGCCGATTTTCGTCAAAAATCGATATTTTTAATTTAAAAAAAATTGTCTAATATTTTTAATAGAAATATACAGAATTTAAGCCATATTTGTACACTTTTGTACATTCTATAATTTTCAAATCCAATAAATTTGACAAATATCGTAGTAAAGTTCTCATTAACGGAAGAATTTAACTTAGCAAAGGAATATCTTACGAATCGATATCTTACGATTCGAAATTCATATGTACTGTATACTTAAAACACCGGATAAAAAAAAATTCATAGTATTATTCCAAAAAAAAATTTCAAACTCTTATAGTACGTACAAGAGTGAAAAAAAGTTAAAAATAAAAATGATCCGTTACGGAAATCTTTATATAAAATCGTTATATAAAAATGATCTTTATTAATGAATTTCTTCATATATTCTAAAAGAAGTTATTTTATTCAAATAATTTTCTTATAAATCCTTATTCCTTAAATAATTATGAAATTACAATAGAAATATATTCTCTAGTATCATTATGAAATAACATGATTTATGTAACATATCAGCTGATTAAAAATCTACTAATAGTAAATAATAGATTTAATATATTGAAAAATTAAAAAAAAAATAGAACCAAAATTTTGACTATAATCAAATACGGCTCAAATTCTATTCCATAGATTTCTCTAAAGAATATTGGAGAATTTTTTTATAAAAATTAAAAATATCGATCTGACAAAAATCAATTTTATTTATTTCAATTAGATTGTTCAAGTAGAAACAAAAACTTGAAGTTCTCTTCATATTTTTTCTAAGAGAATTTCAGATATGAAAAATTTGTTGTAGTTATTTTTTGTTTTTTAATAATTTAAATAGAACTTATGTTCAACGTTTATAAAATAAAATAAATTGAAAATATTAAGAAATTCATATCTAAGAAATTAATGGAGATAAAAATTTAAAAAAAAACTGAATACATATGTACTTTAATATGGGGAATATATTAAAAAATCGGCAGTCGATGAGCTTTCGATTTAACGTGGAATATTCCATATATATAATAAAAATA